GCTCAAGACCATGGCCTCGGATTTGGAGGCACTGAGCCTCATCCCGGCCGCTTCGCACTCGGCTGCGAACCGCTCCAGCGAGAGCTGCAGATCTCATGTGTTCAATAAAAAAAAAAATAATAATAATAATAAAAAAGAAAAAAGAAAAGAGTGGAGAAGAGGACTGAGATCATAAGAGGGACAGCAAAGGCTGAAGGACTGAGAGATAAAGTTAGAGAGAACAGACTGAGGGGGCCCATTTTTGACGCAAAATGTATTCAGAGTCTTCAACGCGTTTTGTAATACTCTCAAACTCATTATGTAATAACGTTATTACATTTTGCGGCAATTGTTACCAAATGTGCTGGTGTAATAATCGGGTGCATTATGTAATAAACAATCAAAAAACAGTTTTCTGTTCATCCTAATCAATATACTTGTACTAACTGTCATGTTGCAAAAACTACATAATTAAATCTTTATAACTTTGGCCAATAATCAGAGCTTATCATTATTTATTTACATTTTCAGATTTACTTCCTGTTACAGACATTATTCCACTTTGACAACTCTCAAAATATATCTAAAAGTTAGTTGTACTAACCCCTTCAGATGTTTACCTGTATAATGAGCCTTAAAATTACGTAATTTTTGTAAAAAAAAAAATCTGTATTAACCACACGCTAACAAGCTCAATGAGGGTGGAAGAAGTTGTTTCGGGCAGTGGGTTGGAAGTGGATACTTGATGTTAATAATTGTTTTAACTTCCTACAGGCTCCAACATGTTGAATAAATTAGAAACTGTTTTTGAAAGATTCCGTAAAACATGAAAAAAAATCCGTGAGATATACCTGCAAAATGACATAAAATCCGTGTGAATTATGGACAATCCTTACGACTTGACATGGCTGTATTGAAACCTGAATTGCAGGTGAGGCTGCATCTTACATTTTTGACAGGATATGAAAATAAAGAGTTGTACCTGCACTCTAAAACCAGTCTGCACAAAAGCGCCCCCTTCTGTTCAGTTTTCATATTGACCCTGTGTTGTATCCTTACGGTTTCAAGTTCATGTTTTTGTCCTTGAACTAGTGGAAACTCTTGCACTGCTCTGAGTAAGATGACTTTGTTTATATAGTTTAATATGTTCCCTTTTAATAACAAGAGGTTGACTAATATTACACATTATTTAAGTCCAGGAAAATTGTTGGGATTCTGTTTGAATTAAACTGTTGGATCATATGCTTCTTTCATTTAACACMAACAGAAACATTATCCTTTTTGCTTTTTAAACCATAGATTTTTATTTTTCTGAAAGCCAATGTGTTGATGAGTTCTGTGTTTATTGACCAAAGTTACAAAGATTTAATTGCAACATGACATTTATTACAAGTATATTGATTAGGATGAACAGAAATACTGGTTTTTGATTGTTTATTTCATAATGCACCAGATCATTACACTACCACATTTTGTAATTGCCGCAAAATGTAATGTTATTACATAATGCAGCTGAGAGTATTACACAATGTGTTGAAGACTTTGATTACATTTTGCGTCACTACATAATGCGGTTTTAGTGTGAGATTATTACGTTTTGAAGCCTGATGTTATTACATTACATAATGCGTTATTACAAAATGAGGTCTTACAGGGCATGACGGAAGTGGTAGGAGGTTCTGAAAGAGAC